TCAAAGTCAAATTGAAATTGACTTTAAAAATAATAAAGAATAAATAAATTAAAAAAATTATGATGTCACTGTGAAAGGGAATAGATAAAAATTAGTTTGTAGGTTTAAGATAGAAGTATTAATAGAGTCGAACTTAAATTCAATTCTCGATTTAACGTAATTATGATTAAGACTCGAATTGAGTTGAATTTGATTATCAAGTATAAAGTACAAATTCTTTGTTAAACTTAAATTGGATTGAATTTTACAAATATTTAAGTTGGACTGAAATAGAAACTGATTTTAATTTCTTAACAAAGTTTTTTACATTTAATAGAATTCACGTGAAACTTTTGGATGTTTTCCTTACAAAAGTTACACAAATTCACAATGAAAAAATAGTGCAGAGATAATGTTATAAACTTTATGTAAAAACCTGCAGAAACACAAATAGTTATAACTTTTTTAAATTTGAGATAAAATTTATTAAAAATGTTAAAATCGTAGATGTTGGATCAATAATAATTATATTTTCTCAAATATTTGAATTAATATGTTACAGTAGTTGTAGCGTAACTTTCATTATGTAAAAGTTTGATTTAATATGTTCTGCATATAGATTGAATAATATCAATTTGATAATTGTAATATTTAAATTGTATTAAACATTGTCTTTATTTATAAACAGGTATTTGTAATTTTTTACAAGTAATAAAATGCCTTCAGGCACAGGCAATTATCTATATAATAAAGTAGAACGAATTTGAATTTTGGAGATAGAGAGTGGTTTAGATCGTTTCGTGACCAAAAAAAAAATATCATCCCACGAACGAAATTATCCCAAACTATCTCGAGCTATTGATGTCTTAGATCGTTTTGATCCGACGTACCACATTACCTATTTTGAAATATTTTTGCTGCTCAAAATTGATATTTTCCAAAATTTAATTCTCCCAAATGTTTTCCTTAAATCAAGTAAATATATCTTTCTCATTGCTCTGTATCTCTCTCATGTTCAATCTATGCAAAAAAGTATCAATTTTTCACAATATTTTTCTATGTATCTTACAAAAGTATTAGATAGTGACTGATTCAAACAAATACTACATTTCTCTGTAGATAGATAGTATATATCACAGAGAAAGATAATATATTACAAAAATATTCTTTTGTATCTCTCTCTGAAAAAAAATTATATAATAAATATTAGATAGATAGTGTATATCACGAAAATATTCTTCTGTATCTCTCTTTTTCATTCAAGCAATACTACAAATACGAATCATACAAATTTAATAGTCAATTTTGGTTTTTCCATAATCAATAAAAAAAAAAGCATAACTTGCAAAAAATCTAATTTAACAAAGAAAATATAGTTAACATGTAAAATATACAAGATTAAATTCAAGTTATTAAGTAACTCAGATATCAAGAGATATATTAAAGAAAATATGCTTAACATTTAAAATATAGAAGATTAAATTCATATACAAACACGAATCATATATATTCAATATTTAGTGAACAACACAAAATAACAATATTTACTAAATAATCCAAATCTAAATACCTTAGAAAAATGATACAAAATTACAAGCGAGAGAAACAATATAAACTTATAAGCAATACTATAAACACAAATCATACTAAATAATCTAATACAAAATAACGTTTAGTTTAAGAAAATATACTAAGAATATAAATAACCGATAAGAATGATATAAAATTAAAAGTACTACTATAAACTCAAATCATACAAATTCAATAGTCAATTTTGTTTTTTCCATAATCAATAAAAAAAAACATAACTTGCAAAAAATCTAATTTAACAAATAAAATATGCTTAACATGTAACATATACAAGATTAAATTCAAGTTATTGGGCAACTCAAATATCAAAAGATATATTAAAGAAAATATGTTTAACATTTAAAATATATAAGATTAAATTCATATACAAACACGAATCATACAAATTCAATATTTAGTGAACAACACAAAACAACAATATTTATTAAATAATTCAAATTTAAATACCCGAGAAAAATGATACAAAATTACAAATGAGAAAAATAATACAAAATTATAAGCAATACTATAAACACGAATCATACAAATTCAATATTTAGTGAACAAATCGAAGCAACAATTTTTACTAAATAATTCAATACTAAATAACGTTTAGTTTAAGAAAATATATTAAGAATATGAATAACTGAGAATAATGATATAAAATTAAAAGCATTACTATAAACTCGAATCATATAAATTCAATAGTCAATTTTGTTTTTTACATAATCAATAAAAAAAACATAACTTTCAAAAAATCTAATTTAACAAAGAAAATATGCTTAACATGTAAAATATATAAGATTAAATTCAAGTTATTGAGCAAATCAGATATTAAGAGATATATTAAAGAAAATATGTTTAACATTTACAATATACAACATTAAATTCACATACAAACACAAATCATACAAATTCAATATTTAGTGAATAACACAAAACAACATTATTTACTAAATAATCTAAATCTAAATATTCGAGAAAAATGATACAAAATTACAAGTGAGAGAAACAATACAAAATTATAAGCAATACTATCAACACAAATCATACAAATTCAATATTTAGTGAACAACACAAAGCAACAATCTTTACTAAATAATTCAATACTAAATAATGTTTAATTTAAAAAAATATACTAAGAATATAAATAACCTAGCAGAATGATATAAAATTAAAAGTACTACTATAAGCTCGAATCATACAAATTCAATAGTCAGGTTGTATCTTTTGGAAGTGAATTGAATTTCTGATAGTTATATTTGGTCATTTGACAACATCTACAGACTTAGTTTATTTGTGAGAGTATTGTATTAATTTTTATTCTATTAATTATGAATTCTGTTATTATTTAGATAAAGTTAATTATAAATATTAAAATCGTGGATTTTGAATCATACAAATTCAATATTTAGTGAGCAACACAAAACAACAATCTTTACTAAATAATCCAATGTTAAATAACGTTTAATTTAAAAAAATATACTAAGAATATAAATGACCGAGCAAAATGATATTAAATTAAAAACACTACTATAAGCTCGAATCATACAAATTCAATAGTCAGGTCGTATCTTTTGGAAGTCAGTTGAATTTTTTATAGTTATATTTGGTCATTTGACAACATCTGCAAACTTAGTTTATTTGTGGAAGTATTGTATTAATTTTTATTCTATTAATTATAAATTTTGTTATTATTTAGATAAAGTTGATTATAATTGTTAAAATCGTGGATTTTCAATTAAAAACAGAACATTGAATATTGTCAACTGATATATTTTTTCAGATGTTTGAATTATTATATTTTAGTAGTTATAACATAATTTTCGTAGCGTAATAATTTAATATGAAAATATATGTTATGCATGTAGGTTGATGTTATACAAAATATTAGCGGACTCATTTTGTTCGTCGTTTATTACAATGTGGTATGTTACTTTATATTTATGTATGAACAAATATTTCTAACTAATTTACGAGTAACAAGGCACGGGCAATTTTAGTGATTAAATATTAGGCATAATAGTTATATTAAATTAGCATTATTAGATGATGTAATGGTCTAATAATAATTTAATAATTAGATAAAATAAATTTCACTCTTTTAAATACTCACACATCTATGTAAAATAATAATAACCGTATATTTAAAGAGTAAAATTCATTTATTCACTTATTAATTATTAAATAATTATACAACATGATAACACCGACCTAATATAATCCATTACAACTAATATTTTAATTTGAATACAAAATTGAATGATTATGGTCATCGAGTGTGTCCCAATAACATTAAGAATCATAAGTGGGTCGTTTTTGACCACCCAAGCGGCATGATTTTACAAATGGTGTGCTGCACACCATTCGTGTCATGGTACGACGCAATGGACGGTGATCTCATTCAAAGCCGCAATTGGATTCATTCAAGTCACAGTCTGAAACTGAAAGGTCATAACTACTCATAACGTGTATTGCCACCTCTTCTATCATCATTTTCTTCAACTATCATGCAAGTTCACACCAATTACATTACATCCCATCTCCCCCTCCTTCTCTATCTCTCTCTCTCTCAAAAGAAAACCATGAAATTAAACGTGTTAACCACCATGCAATATAAAAAGAAAAGGCAAACATTGACCTACGAGGAAAAGACCAGTCTTTGTCCACCACCGAAAAAAAAGACTTCAAAAATCAACTCCAACAACCTAAAGCTGACTTTTGTTTTTTTTTTTGGGTTTGTTAGTGCAAGAAATCTTTTATTTACTTGCTACTTCTTCTTAGGAGGTGAGGGATACAAGAATGGCATCGATATTGATGATTATATTCGTTCTTAGGGTGGGATTGAATCGATATCATTTGGATTAGAGCATTGCTATTGGAATTTAAAAATTTGATTTAATTTACTGATCTAATTCACTATGACTTTTAGATTGATTATAGGGTCCATCAAACATTGAAATATGGTATTGATCCAATAATTCCTATTAAGTCACATTATTATGTCAACAAATTAAATCAGATTTTTATGTCTAAATAGAATTATTCTCCGTGTTAACCTGTAAAAGTAGAACTAACTCTTACAAGCATTGTATACTTTATAGTCAATGAGATTCAATCCTTTATGAAACACGGGATTGCACCTATAAAAGTAGAAACTATGAAAAATTATATTTTGATCCTCTCAATTATAATATTTTTTATTTTACGCGCTCAACTATTATATTTTTCATATTATACCCACAAATATCTAATTAATTTCAGATTGTTTCAATTACTAACATCTATTACACATTTAACTATAATTTATTTCATTTTGACCCATTTCTGTTCAAAAGGATAAAAGTTTAGGATTGGGACAATATGAAATAGTCAAAATAATTGAGCGGACTATAGAGGTGAGATTCGATCCTAGATCTTATGTAAGATGGGATTGCATCGATACCATTCCATCAACCCATTCTCTGAAAAATATATTAGAAACTAACTCATCACACCTCAAAAGAAAAAATTAATATTATTTCCATGTGGTTAATAAAATAAAATAACCCATTTAGAAACTGAAAATCTACACCAAACATTGTCCACGTTCATCAAAAGAGCAAGTCACACACACACACACAATATCAGAACAGAATGCAGATCATTGTGAAAACGAAAACACAATAGCAAGTACCAAAGACACACACAGAGAGATACAATCGCAACTATTTCAAATAAATTGAGCGGTTTGAATCAAACCTGGATTTGCCGACGCTTTCGGTGCGCCTCGGCTCGCTTTGCGAGATCGGCGACCATGCGGAACCGCCGACGAGGGTTCTTCACCAACCAGACGGCGGATCTCCATCTCCGTAAAGCTTCTTCCGATGGCCTCTTCGGCTCAACATCAAAGTTATTCCTCAAATACTGTTCCATTAGCTCTCAAGCCTCTCCGAATCCTAGGTTTAGTTGTGTTGGTTTTGATTGAAAATGAGGCACAAAAGTATAGATATAGGGTTTAATTTAGGTGTCAGTTTGAGTTCAGGGAAAGTTTCAAAGATGGATACCGGAACAGGCGGGAAGGGCAGAGAGAGAGACAGAGAGACAGAGAGAGAGTTGATCTGCAGAATATATGTGAGCTGTTCCTGATTTATGAAACATTATATACATTAGGTTTTATGCATAGGCATTTTGGTAATTTCGATTATTGTTGAATTTTTGTAATTTTCAATTTCGGCTTAAGTTTACTTTTAAAACGTCGTAGTATGTTTGGCAATTGTCTTGACCTTTCTTTCATTGGTATGAAATGATGATTTTTACTTGTACTAATAATTAAATGATCAAAATAAGCATTATTCATGTTTTGGGTTTTAAAAAAAGGTCTCAATTTAATCGCATTGAGTTAAATTTGGTGAAAAAAAAAATAGATTTATTGGACGTGACCAAGAAATTTAGAATTAATTTAAGATTCCGATAACCAAAACGTTCAAGGTATGAATTATTGTTAAAGACGAAGATTAATTTCTCATGTCTTTCTCTTTGTTGTGGGTTTTATTGTATTGTCTTTGGAATATCTTTTCACTTTTTTGTGGATGGTTTTTATTCGAAGATTATTCAAAACGTTGCTATAGCCATTATAATGTTAATTCACCAATGTATACGTACATAAAAAGGATTAAGAATTCAATTATTGTTATAGATTTTGCATGTTCTTTTTTTTTTTTTTTGGCTCCCAACTCCTCTTAAAAGTAATGGGTAATTTAGAAGTCGTTACAATTTTTTAAATTTATTTAGGCAAAAGTACAACTCAAAAACTTATTTTAGGTAAAGTGCATATTTTTTTAAAATACCACTATTATCATCAATAAACAGTAAATATATGAAAACTCAATATCTTTTATCTGTTTTTTTTGTTTTTTTGCTAAAATCAAGTAGGAGGTAAAATAGGGGGTTGAAATATCAAAACCCATCTTCTTCGGTAGAGGGATTGGAATGTCAGAATTGTGACTTTTCATCGTCCAAAACAAAAGAGGAACCCGAGTTACTGTTCATCGTCTAAAAAAAAAGTGGAACCCGAGTTACTGTTCATAGTAAAAAAAAAAAAAGGAGGAATCTGAGTTACTGTTAATCGTCCAAAAAAAAGAAAAATACAACTTATTGTTCATTATGTCCTACGACCAAATAACTGTGAATCATCTTTGGCAAATTTTTCACCAGAAATTGCAGGTGACATTCATTTTTGTTTTTTTGTCAATCAGTAATTTTTTTTTCCCACAATTTGTGTTATTTGATTTTTTGATTAAAAATAGTTATGTAACTATTTTTTTAACTATTTGTGATTACAAATTGCAAATTGTTTATATTCAAAAATTAATAGTTGAAACTGTATTGATACAGTTACACCCATTAAAAATAGTTACACAAATTAAAAACATAGTTACACAAATTAAAAAATAGTTACACCCATTAAAACAAAATCAGTTTTTTTTCCATTCATTCCAACATTGAGCAAACATAAAAAAAAATCGAATATAGGAATTTTCCAAAAAAAATGACCGAATAAAAGAAGAAATATACTTATTATATCTATACAAAAAAATAATTACATCCATTAAAAACAGTTACACTCATTAAAACCAAAAGCAATTTTTTTTTCCCTTCATTCCAACAACGAACAAGCATAAAACAAAACTGAACATACTCATTTCCAAAAAAAAAAATGACCGAATAAAAGAAGAAATATACTTATTATCTCTATAAGAAAAAATAGTTACACCCATTAAAAATAGTTACACCAATTAAAATCAAATGCAGTTTTTTTTCTCCTTCGTTCCAACAACGAAAAAACATAAAACAAAATTGAACATAAGAATTTCCCAAAAAAAGATGAAAAAATAAAAGAAGAAATATAGTTATTAACAACTAATCTTTAAACCGATGACGGTGCTTGGTATTTGTAGTTTCTTTTTTCGAATAAATCCACCATCAAAGAAGTAAATTGACCGTTGAATAAGACTCTTATTGCCGAGATCAGATAAACACAGACGTTTAAGAAGACTCTTATTGCAAAGATCAGTTTTTTTTTTTAACAAACTGCAGAGACGTTTGAAGATTTTTTGTGTTACTGCATAAAGTTTTTGTCGTACTGCAGAGATCAGTTGAACACAGATTTTTTCTGCATACAAAATTGCTCATTCAAAATTCAAAAATTAAAGATAACAAATATGTAATTGTTTTCTTAAATAACTGTTAATGATGACTGCATAAATTAAGGAAAAGTATTTAAGTAAAAAAGATTTTAATTCATTTGAATTTTATACCTAAACACAAAAAAATTTATAAAAATTGTACTTAATAGAATAAACAATTTATCCCTACACTTTTGCTTAAATAAGTCTATAAAATTGTACCCAGTTAAAAAACCCAAGTAAGATTGTTAAACGAGTTCAAGTTTGGGTCAAGCTTGGGCCTTGCTCGATTTTGATTCAGATGACTAGCAATGGAATTTGAAATCTAGATCTCTTTGTCAAGAAGTTGTTGGTTCAACCAAATGACTCTTATTTGCATCGTGTTATCCCCGCTCGATTGATTGTCGTTTGTGGTCTTTTTCCGTAGCTAAAGTCTTGTGGTAGAAAGGAAGAACTTGCATGGCACCCACCCTCACATGTTGGCTCAAAATGTCTACACATCACATCAAGATTTGGATAAAACTGTGTTGTCCAAATTTATTTACTTAATCTTGTATCACAAGTAATATGTCAAGATCTCACTCATTGAATATTTAATGAAGTTAGTGGACCTCAATAATCTAAGCATCTACATTGAGTTGTTAAATAGCGTGTCTAACTCACTAAAAAAATTTTTAGTCTTTACCCCTTCCACCACAAAGTTTGAAAAAGTGTTGACGTTAAAATCTCACGCATTAAATATTTGGTAGGGCTAGTGGACCCTACTAATATAATCACATACACTGATTTGTTAAATAGCGTGTCTAACTAACTAAAAATTTTCCTAGTCTTTACCCCCTGCACCACGACATTTGAAAAAGTGTTGAGAAAAGCGTTGTTGTTTACACTTGGGACAGATTTGGTTTGAGTATAGTATGAGATTAAACAAGTAATTCCATTTTAATACATAGTAATGGTATTCATGGATCAACCATTTTATCCTATCCCAATTCCAGTATGTTTGATTTTAAGGTTAATTTGAGTTAATTTAAAGTGTGGATTCATTATTCTAATACCAATATCATGTTTAGATGAAGTATTAGTGATTGAGATAAAGTTCAAAGAGACAAAAACACCATAAATCAATGCATAACTATTTAGACTACTTGGATACTCTTCTCATTTTGGATATTAATACAAATCATATGTTATTTAATATTACTTATTATATTATATTAGGATATACCAAATACGTAGTGTTGGATGACACTTTAGAATTAAGTCGGTACTAAAATATCTTTAAGACCAAACCTTAAAAACTTGATCCAAATTTGGTATTAAACAATGATTGAAATAATTTAGTCCATTCTCTCATTTTTTGATACCTCAAACAAATATACCCTTAATTTAAGGAATTAATTTGAGTATTAAATACATTTTAGCTATTAGATTACTGGCGAATCCCAGTTTTAATTGAAATTCACTATTAATCTGACACAATGCATTAGGTCTCCAAATTAACTACTCTTTGGCTATGAATTTGTATGAAATATATCAACAATACATTCTTATGAAATGCCTATGAATTAGTGTTTTCATCTTTGGCTAACTTATGATTTGTTCACTACCAAAAAGGAGTGAAGTTAGCACCTAATAAAAACATAAATAAAGTGAATAACCAATGATTTTTTGGTCTAATGGTACTCCTTACTTTATGAATGTTTTGTCTTCATGAGGTCAAGGTTTAAACCCCCTTCTCCTCCCCCTCCCTCCCTCCCCCCCCAAAAAAAAAAAGGAGAATAGCATGGTTTATAGTTGTATTGGAAATTATTTATCTGATATTAAAGTTAGAAAGTTGAATTCTCAATTTATAAAAGTAGAAAAATGGTCAAGATTGATCCAATTGTAATCTACTTTGATTAAACGATACCAAATTTATCCCACAAATTCTTTTCCCCTCAAAAATATCATTTTCATTGCACGATCCCCAATGTCAAATAATCCATTATTCATCTCCATATCTCTCTTCTCTTTCTTTTACTGCTTTTTTATTTAATTTTAAATTGCAAGATTAAAGAAAAAAAATTAAATATTGTACGACCAATATTTAATTTTTTTTATTTTTAGTATTGAAATGTGTCTTCAAACACAAGATTATTGCTAATTTTTCTATGAGGTGCTAAATTCATATTTGTATCATAAATCCAGGGGCAGCTCAACACTGTAGTTGAAAAAGTTTGGGCTTTATGCCTCATTTTTAAGAAAAACCCCAAATTTTTAAGATATCATAAATAGGTCATGTAAAAAAACTAAATCCATAAATACTTTAAACCCTACAAAAAGGTCTTATAAAAACACAATCTCAATTAAAAAAAAATTAGGCCCTCGCTTCAAGGAAGACCCCGTAATTTATAGGTTTGCAGTACTAGTCCAAACACAAAATTTAAATCTATGCCAAAACAAGAGATTTCAACTTAAGTACATCGAGTCTATTAATTAAGCCGTGAAATTAAAAGGACCTATAATTTATTTTATTAAAAAAATTAACAATAAAATTAAAGATACTAAAAAATTTAGTCTTAACTGTCTAAAAAAGTTGAGTTTAAACTTCTCGTCATAATTTTTAATTATTCTTTTTCTCTCTTATTACCAAGTTCAACTATGGTAATAAAATTTTTATTATAAAAATTTAATTAATATTTTAATATTTTAAAAAAATTAAAAATAAATTTATTATTGATATTAAAAATAAAAGGTCTTATTTATGCA